ACAGCACTTCTGTAGCAAAAGTGGATATAGAGCTGAAGAAAGGCTAAAGTTCAAGTCATGCTTGTCTCATGACAAGCACTAATGAAGATTTTATTTCTTAAAATCTTAGTCTCTTAGTATATTAATATGGCTGTATTATTTCTTAAAATCTTAGTCTCTTAGTATATTAATATGGCTGTAAATTCTTTGCAGATTCTGCCATCAAGAAAGGGAGTACTTTTGGGGCCATGTGTGGTGACTCACACCTGTAATCCCAGCTACTTGGAGGTGGAGATGGGGAAGATCATGATTCAAGGGCAGCCCAGGCAAAAACTGAGCAAGACTCCATCTCAACCAATAAAGTTTGGTGCAATGGTACATGCTTGTCATACCAGATACATGAAAGGCATAAATAGGAGATTGAGGTCCAGGTCAGCCCAGCCAAAAGCACAAGACCCTATTTAAAAAGTAACTAAAAAATAAAAAGGATTCAAGTGGTAGGGCATCGGCATAAAGCACAAAGCCCTGAGTTTGAGCCCCAAAATTGAAAACAAAAAATGGGGCACTGGAGAAAGGTGGGAGAGTTTTCCCAGACTGTAAACCTGGGCTGGCTTCATGATGTACATTGACTAATAGTGAAATGTGGTGAAAACAGCATGTCAGTTTCCAGAACCTTCCAGCTCTGTCTCCAGTATCATGGAATCCACCACATAAGGAAGCCAGAGTAGCTTACTGGAAGATGGGGTGCCACATCCAGGAGAAGCAAGACTCCCTAGCCATGTGCAGCACCAACTGCCAGATGTACCTATGAGGTAATCTGGGACCTTCCAACCCCACTGACATGTCAGCATCCACATCGACGCAGCAGAGGACTCACTGCCAACCTACAGAATCATGCAGTGAGTATTTTTGTTCTTTGTTTATTAGCATGCGTTAATTGGACAAAAGGGGTTTGCTATAATATTTCTATCCATGTATGAAAATACTTTAATCAAATCCACCCCCCCCAGAGTGAGTCTTGAATTGAAGCTAGTAAGCTTTGGAAGGCTTGATACTCAAAGGGTAATTGAATCCATTTCTTCATTTAAACAGGATAATACCTACCCAACTGTTCATTTGTTCACTGAAGTTATTTGAGGGCTACTACATTGTATCTGGATAATATACATTCACATGGAGTTTGAGAATCAAAGAAAATAATGGATGCCAATGGTCTCAAAATAGTTTTGCTGTTGACAGCACCTCCCTTTCATTGAACCCCCCATATTTCGAAGCACTTAAACTCACTTTGAATAAAGAGCCCATCAAAGGACCAGCCAGCGTCATTTCCAGTCTTCTTTGATGGAAAGGATCCATGTGCACCTGCCTTTCTGATCTCCTGAGCTATTGGGTTTGCACTTGGATAAAGAGAAGCTGGGTCTTCTCCCTATAGGACCAGAAGTTCACAGAAGTTCACTCATTACCAAGAATATACAAGCCTTGCTCTAAATCACTAAGACAAAGTGTTCTCCATTATCATTCCCATAAAACCCTGTTATAAGTTCATAGAGGAAGAGAAAGATAGCTGAAGAGAGATGCTTAGGACTCACATCTTCTTCCACAAGAAGAACCCAAGTAACAGGTCTAGAGAGGTATTTTGAGATGAATGACAGTGGTAGGACCCTGGAAATCAGCAAAAGAGAGTGTGTAACCTTCTAAGATGCAGAGACCTGAGACAGCAGCAAGAAAGGAAAACTAAGTACCCTGGCAGGCACTTGCCTGACTTTAAAGCCCCTTGCAGAGTAAGGGGAAATCTCAGCAAACTTCACAAGTGTGGATGTTGCTGTCCTGGCTACTGAAAAGTTTCAAAGTCCTCACAGGCCTGCAGCACACTTAGGTAAGTAAGCAAAAATATGCACGGTAGACTTTCTTTGGGAAAGGATCTCACATCATGGCTTGAAGACCCCTTCCAAGGGTGCTGGAGCTTAGGAAACATCTTGAAAAGGTTCCTACAGTTAATTTGGACTGTTCTAGGCATCAGAAACTCCTGCATATTCCCATCTCTGGCACCCACAGGCATTCCACTGCACTTTCTTATGTGGTGGCTGCTTTGCAAACCACCTTGGCCGAGTAGAACGACCACAACCCAAGCACAGAGTGCTCTGCTCTGTAGCGGACAGGTGCTATGACAGAGGGAAATGGAGAACCATCCTCAGGTGCTTGCTCTGAGACCAAGAGCATGGACAGCTGCACCTGGACTCGCACCAGTGCCAGGACTGAGGGCAGGCATCCACACGGTTCCTGCTACCACTCTACCCTGCACAATGCTCAGGTGCCTGTTGCTGACAGGGCAGGGAGTGAACACCATGGTTCCCTGTACTGCCCTGCCCACAAGGTCATGCTAAAGGGACCTTGAGAAGCTATGACTCTGGCTGGAACACAAGCACAAAGAACACATAGCCAAGAGAACCAAAGCAACTTTGTCAAGCTGCAGCCCTGGTCCCACTCCTGGGTGCACACACTGCCCTCCAAAGCAGCAGAGAAGAGCACTAGAGTTCCTGTTGCCACCTACACAATCCCCAGCCCTGTCCCACCCCCAGCCTTGGCTGACCGCGCACTGCTGTCAGGACCAGAGCAGTGCTGCATCACCTCTCCCTGTACAGAGTTTGAGCCTGCACCACTGACTAGTAGAAGGACAAGCGCCTCAGGCCCCTCACCGCTGCTGGAGCACCCAGAACTCAAGGTCCTTTCTATTAGAAGAGCCAGCAACAACAGTGCCTGAGGAAACCCCATAGCCCAAAAGGGGGCTGGAGGTGAGGTTCAAGCAGTAGAACACCCACTTTGCAATCACAAAGCCCTGAGTTCAAACCTCAGTCCCACCAAAAAAAACTTATAGACTAATAATGGCCACAGTTCCCATTGTACGAGTATCCAAACAGTGAGCACACATACCTACTGGGCCACACTACCAGAACTACTAATGCCCCAACTCTCGTATGGCTCACGCAGCAGTGGGCCTCTCCCACTGTAGTGTACACAGTTGTGTAAAGTCAATCACAACCAAAGGAGACATAGGGAGACTAAAATATAGTGCCCAGCTAGACACCAACCCCAAGACAGCCAATCCCAAGACACATCTTCAGGACAAAAGTATTTACTAAGAAGGTCACCTCAAAAAGGCTGTTGGAGGTATTTAATCCACCAATGTGCAAACCTCATACAGAAGCACAAGATCTGTGAAAAATATACAGTGATATGAGACCTCCAAAAGAACATAACTACAACAGAATTCAAAGAAATTAATATGGATGAAATACCTCATAAATATTTTAAAAACTGACTACAGGAAGGCTCAATCAGTCCAAGATAATGCAAATAAACAGCTGAATGAGATTAGGAAAACAATGAAGGATACGAATGAGAAAAATCAGCATTTAGGTAGAGATTTTGAAAAAAATCAAACAGAAATGTTGGAAATGAAGGGTTCAACAGGTCAACTAAAGATAAAGTTTAAAGCTTCAAAAACACTACATCAAGCAGACGAAAGAACATCTGAACTTGAAGAAGGACCTTTGGAAATATCCCAGTCAAAAAGAAAAAAGTATTCAAGAACTTTGGAACACCATTAAGTGAGCAAATGTCTACATTTTCAGAATACCCACAGGCAAGGAGAGAAAGTTAAGGGTATAGAAAACTTACTTAGCAAAATAGCATAGTGAAATTCTGTTTACCTGGGGAAAGACAGACATCAATGTGCAGGTGGCTTGTGGGACCCCAAACAAACATAACTAGAAAAGATATTCACCACATGTCATAGTAAAACTGTCAAAAGTGTAAGACAAAGAATGTCTAAAATCTGTAAGAGAAAACATTTCAAGGCATCCCCATTAGACTAAAAGCAAATTTCTCAGAAGACACCCTATAGGCAAACAGGGAACCAAAATGACATATTCCAAGTCCTGAAACGAACTTATTGCCAGACAAGATTGCCATAGTCAACAAGACTATCCTTCAGAAACAAAGGGGAAAAAAAGATAAGCAAAAACAGAACTTGTGATCACCACACCAGCCTTATGAAAGATGCTTAAGGGCATCCTACATCCAGAAGTGAAAGATAACTACATGACATCATGTGAAACTATACAACCCAGGAACAGCAGAACAGATACACAGAGGAGAAGCAGAAAACCATCAATGCAATAAGCCATCAAACTGCAAAGAAGAAACAGAGAGGAACAAAAGAAGAACATTCAAAACCACTAGGAAAATAAATTGACAGAAGTAAGTCCTCACCAATAATGACTTTGAATGTAAATATACAAAGACCTCCAAAAAACAGATACCGGCTGGCTGAATGGTTAAAAAACTAAAACACAATAACATGCTGCCTACAAGAAATTCATAAAGACAGAGAGGGGCTGGTGGAGTAGCTCAAGTAGTAAGAGCACCTGCCTAGCAAATATAAGGCCCTGAGTTCAAACCCCAGTGCCACCACAAAGAAAAAAGAAAAGAAATCAAAGACACAGACTGAAAGGGCAAGGATGAAAACAATATTCTAAGTAAACAAAAATCTAAAGTAATCAGTAGACACTCTGGCTGGTCTCTCGGCTGTGGCGTTCTCTTTTTTTCCCCCCCCTTCCTCGTAGTCGCCTTCTCTGCCTCTTCTCGTTGCTTCTCGCTCTGCTGCTCTGCGGTTTGACGAGGCCGAATCCTCTCCCTCCCTAGCCCGCGTCTTTCTCCTACTCGCGCTGTTCCATTTCTCTCCTTCGGCCACCGCCGCCACTGCTGCCCAGCTGGTGTCGGTGCCGCGCTTTTCCTCCCACGTCGTCCCTGCAGCCTATGGCCCAGGCCGCCTTGGGTATTTCTGCTCAAGGTAACCACATCCCTCTTTAAAAATTCCGCCGAAAAAGAGAAGACGCTTTCTGACCAAGTATACAACTACCCAGAGGGCCTAGGAGAAGTGCTGTATAGAGAGCAGTTCGACTTCAACGCTGAGCCACCTTGGGAACCTAGCTGATGATAGGGGGGTTCCAGCTCCTAACTTGTCCATTTTGTTGCATATTCTAAGGACCCAGACACAGGCTTGGTGGCCCATCTCTTGTTTTTCCTGGTTTATGACTTTCGGCTTTGTGGAATACGGCTGAGATGAAAGGATTTATTGATGATGCAAACTACTCCGTTGGTGTGTTGGATGAAGGAACAAATCTCGAAAATGTTATTGATAACTATGTTTATGAACATACTCTGACAGGGAAAAATGCATTTTTTGTGGGGGATCTTGGAAAGATTGTGAAGAAACACAGTCAATGGCAGAATGTGGTGGCCCAGATAAAGCCATTTTACACAGTGAAGTGCAACTCTTCTCCAGCTGTACTTGAGATTTTGGCAGCTCTTGGAATTGGGTTTGCTTGTTCCAACAAAAATGAGATGGTTTTAGTGCAAGAATTGGGTGTATCTCCAGAAAACATCATTTACATAAGTCCTTGCAAGCAAATTTCTCAGATAAAGTATGCAGCAAAAGTTGGAGTAAATATCATGACATGTGACAATGAAATTGAATTGAAGAAAATTGCACGTAATCACCCACATGCCAAGGTCTTACTACATATTGCAACAGAAGATAATATTGGAGGTGAAGAGGGTAACATGAAGTTTGGCACTACTCTGAAGAACTGTAGGCATCTTTGGGAATGTGCTAAGGAACTTGATGTCCAAATAATTGGGGTTCAATTTCATGTTTCAAGTGCTTGCAAAGAATCTCAAGTATATGTACATGCTCTATCTGATGCTCGATGTGTGTTTGACATGGCTGGAGAATTTGGATTTAAAATGAACATGTTAGACATTGGTGGAGGCTTCACCGGAACTGAATTCCAGTTGGAAGAGGTTAATCACGTTATCAGCCCTCTGTTGGATATCTACTTTCCAGAAGGCTCTGGCATTAAGATAATTTCAGAACCTGGAAGCTACTATGTGTCTTCTGCATTTACACTTGCAGTTAATATCATTGCTAAGAAAGTTGTTGAAAATGATACAATTTCCTCTGGAGTAGAAAAAACCAGGAGCGATGAACCAGTGTTCATGTATTATATGAATGATGGTGTTTATGGTTCTTTTGCAAGTAAACTGTCTGAGGACTTAAATACCATTCCAGAGGTTCATAAGAAAGACAAGAAAGATGAGCCTTTATTTACAAGCAGTCTTTGGGGTCCATCCTGTGATGAGCTTGATCAAATTGTGGAAAGCTGTCTTCTTCCTGAGCTGAATGTGGGAGATTGGCTTATCTTTGATAACATGGGAGCAGATTCTTTCCATGAACCATCTGCTTTTAATGATTTTCAGAGGCCAGCTATTTATTACATGATGTCATTCAGTGATTGGTATGAGATGCAAGATGCTGGAATTACTTCAGACACAATGATGAAGAACTTCTTCTTTGCATCTTCTTGCATACAGCTAAGCCAAGAAGACAGCTTTTCCACTGAAGCTTAAACAGGCATTAACGCTTCCATAGATCTGAAGTAGCAGGTTAAGCTTGTCTGGTCTATATTCCAGTGTGGAAAAAAAAAAATTCAATCTATTCTGCTATTCTCTTGGAAACAAAAATTAATACTAATAGCTATTTGGGACCAGACAAAATCAGCTTCATCTACAATTCATTGGGGGTAGTGGGAGATTTAGATAATGTATCCAGATTTAAATATCAGTTTGTCCTACCCCTTAAGCGTTTAAATAAAATATGCAACAAAATGGGTGACTTAGTGGAGATGGAAGCCCATTAATTGGGTTCCCCATTAAACCGTTTACATACAAGTACACAGTTTTTATACTAAGGATTCGTGTTAAAAAGTCTTGTAAAGTTAATGTCTTTCACCCAGATACATCAAATGTCAGTGGAAGACCAGTGTGACTTCATTAGATATGTTTAGTGTATTTAGAATGTGTAAATTTGTGCTTTGAACTGTAGTTTAATAAATGTAAAATTGCATCATAGTACTTGTTGTATTTGACCTGATATAACCCTGTATGATTGCAATAAATTTTTTGTGTAGTTTTACTGTTTTTTCAGGCTAAAGCTTTGGGAAAGGGGCTAGCTAGCAAAGGTAGTTTTGAAATAGATGTGTATATGGTCTGTTTTGAGGGTTATTTTTCTTTTAGCCCACTTAAGTTTAGTTTGACTCAGTACATTTTTCAGTTATTTAATTAGTAATTTAAAGTGTTTGGTAAATCATTGTGAAGTTCAGATTTATTATGGAGAGTTGATGTGCAGTAAGCATGATGTTTTAATAATTTTAACACCAAAAATTGTTAATTGCATAAACCAACTGTAATAATTAATAAGTGTTTCTGTATAGATAGAATGCATAGAGTACCTTAGTAAATCTTTAAATCACAAGTCTGGCTGACATGGAAGATTCTATTAAATACTTTGAATAAACTTGGTAGGGGAGGGGAATAAAATTGCAGAAAACTGCGAGCACTAGAATTTAAAGAAGGGCTACATCTATATCCTGAAATCTGTTGCTCTTTTGCACAGAATATGTAAATTTAGAATGGGGAGGGGGTGGGGTAAAGCACACTTTCTTTAATTTCTCAATTGCAGTGATTTCAAATTTAGGACTTTTTGGTTGTTATTGGGTTGAACTATTCCCTTAGTTTCTTATTATTCCCACTTGTTCAACTTAGTAATTACTTTTAATGTTTTCATACTAGAATTTTATGGTAGTTGGGGAAGGAGTTAATGTCACTAACCTGACAGTTTTACCAGGAATTTGCTTTGTTCACTGCTAGTATATAGTGATCTTAGATCTCAGAATCACATAGTAATAAAACAAACTACAGGGGTCATTTCTTCCTAACTTATTCTATGTTCAAATGTGGAATTTCTGTCTCCCAAGAGGAAATGTGACTTCACTTTGGTGCCAATGGACAGAAAATTCTACCTGTGCTACATAGGAGAAGTTTGGAATGCACTTAACTAGCTGGTTTTCACACCTTGATTTCAAGGTGGAGAGAAATTGATCATGAATCTCTAATTTCAATCTCAAACCAGTAGGTGCTTAATATTTTTTGATTTGATTAACACCCATTTGAATATCATGGGTTCTATTAGTTAGAAAAAACAAGAATTTAGGACCCCAATCCATTGTCATCTAATTGCCCTTGGAGTTTTCCAAGGTATAATACGGGGTTTTATGCAAAATTTCAAGCAACCATGCAATGTTTTTAACTGTAACAAGGAGGAGGAAGTGTTCCCTACCTTCTTATGTTGTGCATTGTTGTGGTCCAGAAATGCCATACCTTTTTAAAGATGGCATAACTCTGAATCCTTGGCTTGACTATACAGGCTTGAGTTTCATGGCGTCAGTTTTGCCATCTCCCTAGGAGAGCTGTTGTAGTGAGGCAGCCGAGTTGCAAATACCACATGTGAATGATAAGGTAACTTTAAGAAATGTCTGTGTTGTATTTGAAGACTGCTTTAAATCTGAAGTTTGAACCTATGTATTTCAATTTGGTATGCTAAAAAATACTGAACTATTGTAAAATCTTTTTATATATTGTAATCTCAGTTCAAAATTTAACTGAAAATATAAAACCCAAATGATTTCTATATATAGTAAATTGAACTGTAAAGGTAACTTGTGTGTGATTCTGAATACACAGATAAAATGTTTTTATTCCTCAAAAAAAAAAATAAAAAAAATAAAAAAAATAAAGTAATCAGTAGTTGCTATACCAACAAGAAAGTAGTTGCTATACTGAGTGATCTATTCAATAAGATAAAACAGTTATAAGCTCATGTGCACCTGAAGTCAGAGGGGTCCAATTTTATAAGACAAACACTATTAGACCTAAAGGAAGAGATAGGCTCCAACACAGTAATTCTGGTGGTTTCAACACTCCCTCTCATCCATAGATCATCAAGACCAAAAAAAGTCAAAGAAGAATCAGAATTAAATAAGCTAAAAGAAAAGATATTCACATAGCATCCTATGTGCCAGCTGCAAAACACACATCCTTTTCAACAGTGCATGCAACTCTCTGCAGAACAGACCAAACATTAAGCCACAAAACAAGTCTTAACAAATTCAATAGAAGATCCAGAAATAAATCCATACAGCTATAGCCATCTGATCTTCAACAAAGGCACCAAAAACATTATGTTGGAGAAAGACAGGATCTTCGACAAATGGCTGGGGAAATTGGATATTCACAAGAAGAAGATTGAGGTACACTCCCATTTTGAAATTTTGTGCAGGTTAAGAGATAGGATCAAAGATCTAAATATAAGACATGAAATTTTCAAACTATTGCAGGTAAACATAGCAAAGACCCTTGAAGATCTAGGTAACACCTTTCTGAATAAGACTCCAATTGTTCAGAAAATAAAAGAATTGACAAATGGGATTGAGTCAAATTAAAAAGGTTCTGCATAGCAAAGGAGACAATTACCAAAAATCAAGAGACAATCTACAGAATGGGAGAAAATCTTTGTTAGTTACTCATCAAATAAAGGATTAATATCCAGAATATACAAAGAACACCCAGAGCTAAGCATTAAAAGAACAATCCAGTTAATGAGCAAGTGAGTTAGACAGTTCTCAGGACAAGAAATACAAGTAGCCAACAGGAAGAAATGTTCAATGTCCTTGACCAAAAAAGAAATGCAAACCAAATGACACTGAGATTGCATCTCACCAGGTCAGAAAGGCATTCATGAAGAAAACAACAAATGTTGGCAAGGATTCAGAGGAAAAGGGACCTCTTACACACTGTTGGTGGGAGTGTAATTAGTTCTGCCACTGTACAAATCAGTATGGAGGTTTTTCAAGAAACTAGAAATTGAACTAGCATATGATCCTGCTATTCTGCTCCTGGGCGGATAGCCAAAGGAATGTTTATCTTGTGCAAGGGAGACACCTGCAGACCCATTTCATCACAGCACTGTCCAGACAGACAAGCGATGGAATCAGCCTAGGTACCCATCGACCAATGCATGGATAAAGAAAACACGGCACATATGCACACTGGAGTATTATTCAGCCATAAAGAAGAATGAAATTATGTCATTTGCAGGAAAATGGAAGAAACTGAAAATCATCAAGTAAAGTAAGATAATCCAGACTGCTAAAGACAAATACCACATTCTCTCTCATATGTGGAATCTAGATCTTAAATGAATGACAAAAGTTAAAAATGGGGGGACTATTTGAGGAGGGGACCAGCAGGAAGAGAGAGAGTAAAGGGGAGAGGACGAATAAGATGGAAGTATTTCATACACATATATGAAACAGAATAATGAAAGCCACCAAAATTATTTTAAAACAGGGGAGGGGTAAGAAAGTAACAGAGGGGGGATTTGATCAAAGTACATATGCACATGTACGGAATTAAATCATACAGCTAATTGTTTCATACAATTAATATATGCTGATAAAAGAAAAAGAAAAAATATACTTCTATTGCCGTCCCTTCTTTTGTTGGTACTGGGGTTTGAACTCAGGGCCTTGATCTTGCTAAGCAGACACTCTGCCACTTAAGCTATGTTCCCAGCTCTTTTTTGCTTTAGTTATTTTGGGGATAGGGTCTCACTTTTTGCCCAGGCCAGCCTGGACCATGATCCTATTTACACTTCCCATGCAGCTGAGATGTCAGGCATCTGCCACCACACCTAGCTATTGCTTGAGATGGGGTCTCACTAACATTTTGCCTGGGCTAGCCTCAAATTGATATTCTCCCCATCTCCACCTTCAAAGAAGCTAGGATTACAGGCATAAATCACCAGCCTGGCTGCATTCTTAACAATTTTTTAAAAATTCAAAATACTTGAAGTTATATCCATTTTCTTTTCTGATTGAAGTGGAATAAAACTAGAAGGCGACAAAAGAAACCTTAGGAATTATGCAAATGGAAGAAGGCTGGATAACAAACCTTTGAATCAACAGTGAGTCAAGGGAGTCAGAAGGGAAATTTAGAAAAGAAAATTAACAGAGTGAAAACACAGCCTACAGAATCTCTGCCCGGTTTTTCAACCAACAGGAGATTAACTTCCAGAATATACAAAGAACTCAAAAAACTAACCACCAAATGAACAAATATGCCAATAAATAAGTGAGCCAATGAAGTGAGCAGACCCTTTTCCTATGAAGTACGAATGGCCAACAATTTTGTGAAAAGACGTTCAACGTGTTCAGCCCCTGGAGAAATGCAAATCAAAACTACACTGAGGCCAGACCCAGGGTGTCAAGCCTGTAATGCCAGATACGTGGGAGGCAAAGATCAGGAGGATCACAGTTTGAGGCCATCCTGGGCAAAAAAAGTTAAGATCCCATGTCAGCCAATGGCTGAGCGTTGTGGTGTGTGCCTGTCACCCCAGCTACACACGGAAGCACAAGCTCGAGGATCACAGCCCAGGCATAAAGCAAGACCCTAATTCCAAAAGTAACCAAGGCAGAAGAGGCTGGCAGAGTGGCTCAAACGGTAGAGCGCGTGTCTAGTAAGTGCAAGGTCCTGAGTTCAAATCCCAGTACCACAAAAAAGAAAAGCAATTGAGATTTCATCTCACCTCAGTCAAAATGGCTATCACCAAGAAAATAAAAAGTAGGAGATGCAGGTGAAGTTTCATGGGAAACGGAACCCTTATACACCGTGAGAAGGTAAATTAGTGCAGTCACTGTGGAAATCAGTTCCCAAAAAAACTAAAAATAGAACTGCCATATACTAGGGATAACCCAAAGGAATCAAAGTCAACATAGAGCAGAGACACCTGCACAACCGTGTTTATTGTGGTACTATTCACAATAGGCAGCTTATGGATTCAGCCAAGGTGCTAATCAATGAATAAATAAAGAAAATGTGGTCTACAGACACTAAGGAATATTATTCAGTCATAAAGAATGAAATCAGGTTGTTTACAGGAAAATAGATGGAACTGGAGATTATGTTAAGCAAAATAAGTCAGACTCAAAAAGACAGATACCATGTTTCTCTCAGACACAGAATCAAGGGGGGGGGGAAGACGTGAAGGAAGAGGGAGA